CGAGGAGGGGGGGTGGGTGGGGCTCGGGCTCCGGTTCTACCTGGGAAAGCACAAAGTGGATGAACAAAGCCTCACCAAACCACAGAAGGTCTTTTAATATGCCTTCAAAGGGCTTTAAATACATCTAAACTACCTTCAAAGAGGCACGACAGCAGGCGTGCCCCCAGGATGTCATCTGCACATGGACTCAGGTGTGTTAACTTGAGTCAGATACATGATAAACAAGGGCTATTGCCGACAACTAGCAAAGGCCTCGGATCTCATATTGGAACCATCAGGATCTCTTCCCATCATCTGGCTCTAATCACAGATTAGAACACAGATGTGGTCCAACTGGTCCCAGATCTGACAAAAGCAGCGCTGATTCAACCGAATGCATGGCTTCATATCTAATACTTCATGTAGAAATTAATATTGTGTACCTGGAGCTCCCTTTAAATGTCCCCACAGATACAAGTCTTTCTCTCGCACTGTGCTGCAGTTGCATTTGGGTCAGGACTTCTATGCAAAGGTCGTCTTCTTGGCCTACAGCCATTGTGTATTAGACAATTTGACTAAAGTTATGTTTTCTATATCTATGCTAACTGTCCAGTATTAATATACTGCATTACAAATCTTCTGCAAGTTTCCATTTAATAAAGATTTTCTCATGTACCCTGGTCTGCACTGTCTTTCTGAATCACATGCACTGCAAGATATGCAAAGGAAAGCCAGCAGCAATACCTGGAGCAGACGGTAAAATTAGCGATCCAGGAAAAACCGGAAAGAGAAAGTTTGAATTTAAAAGCAAACAACCAACGAAGACCCATCCTTGGTTCCAGCTTCTCCGAAACACAACACGCACTGGCGGACTAAAGGGTTTTTTTGCAAGCGAGAGCAGACGTGTTTATTGCTTCTCTGTCTGTTCTACGATTTTTCACTTCTTTTCATATTGTCAAGGCTTTGAGCAAAACTCTACAACTACTAAAATGCCTCGAAAAGGGAAAAGAGCTAATAAATCTGAGTTGAACGATGGTGTTGAGGCGGAAGAAGATTCTTTTTCAGCGGCACAAGTTGCTGAGATGATGGAGCGGCAGCGGAGTATGCACACTGTGCTTATGTGCCAACTAAATGAGAGTTTCCAAGGCTTTGTGAAACTAATTATGGAGGCTCATAACAAGAGATTCGACGACTTGACCAAAGAAATGCAGGAGATAAAAATAAGTTTGCAGTTTACCCAGCGAGAAGTGGATGCGATTAAAGCGGACGTGGGGAGGCATGAAATAACTGCCAGAGACACTTTTCGGGACATTGATAAAACCCGAGAGAGTCTAATAACTATCACTATAAAATGGAGGAGTTGGAAACACAGTCCAAGCAAAAAAAAACAGATCTTCGAGGGAATCATGGAGTCAGCTGGAGAGAGCGTGACGGAAGCGGAGGGTAAGGTGGAGGAGATATTAAAGGACAAACTGCAGATTCATCAGGATATAGAAATGGAACGGGTCTACAGAGTGGGGAAATTGACCGAACGGGGTCCAAGGGGGATGATGGTTAAGCTGAAGAACGAGAAAGACAAGATAACCATTCTGCAACAAGCCAGGAAGCTGAAGGGAACCAAAATTTACATCAATGAAGATTTCCCCGAGGGTGTGCGGAAGAAAAGACAGGCGCTGATGCCGAGG